GTTTTTAACTGGTCACATGACTGGATCGAGGGGGCCCAGCCCCCCCTGACATGTTACCATAGATACGCCCCTGGATGGATGTTTGTTGAGGACAAAATGGTGTTTTTATATTATAGAAATGTGGTTTTAAATAGATTAATGTTACGTCATAAACAATCTAAACTAAATAATTATGAAGAAATGGATGATTGAGGATCTAAGATTTGACCAAACTCAATAAATATTCACATTAATGATGGAACTGGACACCCAAAACAGGGTGTAAGATTTATAAAGTGATCATTTTCTTGTGTCTTTAATGGAGTCCTGCTGGAGGAGAGGCCTACCGGATGAATGTGTAGTTGTCTTTGTTTTGACCCTGTTTGTTTAACCCTATAATGCCAAATGTGTCATATCTGATCCGGTTTCTGGTTTTTCTTGGATCAGGCTTTAAAAGGTTAAAGCAGTTTTTTGTACTTTTAAAGCTGTTTTTAGGACTTTTAAAGCGGTTTTGGGGAGTTTTAAAGCTGTTTTTATGCATTGAAAAATGTTTTTTGCGGCTTTTAAAGCTGTTTTGGGGTCTTAACCCTATAATGCCAAATGTGTCATATCTGATCCGGTTTCTTTTGGATCTGAGACTTTTTGCATCATTCAGTGGTAAAAGCTTTGCTCAAACCCCTGTTGTACACATTCAGATATACCTGATAACAGCCAGTAGAAGACTACACCAACATATATTTTTGACTTATTGCACACTAATTTGATCAAAATGATTACTGTTTTTTTTTTTCTTCATATGTTGTTGAGGGGCCAAAGAAAGACTTCAGACTAAAGAAGTCCAATATTCTTCTTATTTTTCTTGGATCGGGCTTTAAAGGGTTAACTGTGACCTGTTTCCCGGAGCGTGAACGGCCGACTTTCCGTTCAGCTGCAAAATGGCCAAACATGGAGCAGGCAGAGCGGATTAAGGCGTCCATTTTTAGCCCAGGAGAGGAAAGCGTCTCATTTTATTCTCTCTCTCCACAGATCGAGAGGATCAGTCCATCCTCTGCACGTGAGTCCCGACCCCTCAGAATCAGAAATACTTTAATAATCCCAGAGAGAAATTATTTTTGTTGCCAACTCCAGATATACATACATGTCTATACAAATATACACATATATATATATGCAACATTCCACTCAAAAATATAAATAAATATATACATATGTAACTATATGTATATATACAGACCTAAAATAAGTGATAATTATTTCCATTCCTTGTCAAAGCTCAGAAAATATCAGATTGCTACCAGGTCACACAACAATTTTATTTATTCATTTTACGTGTTAAAAACTGGTTCGTTTTGGGTCACTCACACCCTTTGGAGACGTTTATAAGGTTTTATTTTAAGATCTGTTAGCAATATAAAGATATCATTGTGTGATAATGTGAAATTCTTTGTGAACGGATGCAAAAAAATTGCGTGGAAATGCAAAATAAAATATAAAATATTGCCACGTTACTTGAGGGGCTCCGTGGAAGAGTTAGACCTTTAGAAAGTGTTCAAAACAAAGACTTGTAGTTTTCTCTTGTTGTCTTTTTCTGCGTCAGACTAAAAAAAACAAACATTCAGAACATAAGCTCAGTTTTTATTTTGTGAATGACTAACACAAACGAGTGGAGTTGCTGATCTCTGGTTGCTTCAGAGGGGAGTCTGGAGCCGGGAAGACGGAGAACACTAAGAAGGTGATCCAGTACCTGGCCGTGGTCGCCTCCTCTCACAAGGGGAAGAAGGACGCCAACCCGGTGAGGGCACTGATCAATAACCGGAGCACTGATCAATAACCGGATAACTGATCAATAACCAGATAACTGATCAATAACCGAGCACTGATCAATAGCCAGATAACTGATCTATAACCAAATTCTGATCATAACCCAGAGCACTGATCAAAAACCAGATAACTGATCTATAACTAAACACTGATCATAACCAGAAAACTGATAAATAACTAGATACTTGATCAATAACCAGATAACTGATCTATAGCCAGAGCACTGATCAATAACCAGATAACTGATCAGAAACCAGATAACTGATCAATAACCTGATAACTGATCAATAACCAGATAACTGATCAATAACCAGATTACTGATCTATAACCAAACACTGATCAGTAACCAGATAACTGATCTATAACCAAACACTGATCAGTAATCAAACACTGATCAATAACTAGATAACTGATCAATAAACAAACACTGATCAATAACCATCACTGATCAATAACCTGAGCACTGATCAATAACCAAACACTGATCAATAACCAGAGCACTGATCAATTACCAAACACTTATCAGTAATCAAACACTGATCAATAACCGGGCACTGATCAATAACCAGATAACTGATCAGTAACCAAACACTGATCAGTAACCAAACACTAATCAGTAACTAAATAATTGATCAATAACCAAACACTGATCAGTAATCAAACAATATTCAATAACCAGAAAACTGATCAATAACCAGATAACTGATCAATAACTGGTGAATTGATATGAATAGAAGCATTGATTGATAATCAGTACATTGATCAGTAATTTGAGCATTGTTTGTTATCAGATCATTGATCGGTTATCAGAGCATTTATCTGTAATCAGTACATTGATCAGTAATTGCAGTATTGATCTGTAATCGGAGTATTGATCAGTAATTTGAGCATTGTCAGTTATCAGATCATTGATTAGTTATCAGATCATTGTTGGTTATCTGATCATTGATTAGTTATCGGATCATTGTTGGTTATCTGATCATTGATCGGCTATGGCAGTATTGATTGTATTGATTGTATTGATTGTATTGTCTTTAACTCTTGATGAGCGTTTTTGATTTAGTGGCTCCTCTAGTCAGTTTCTGCTGTAGCCCGGACTAACCTCTGACCTCTGACCCCCAGCAGCAGCAGCCGGGGTTGCTGGCCTACGTGAGTCTCCCCCCCCCCCCTCCTCTCCATCCCCCTGACCTCTGACCCCTGACCCCTGACCCGGACCTCTGACCTTTTGTAATTAATGTATGGATTAATCACGAAACTGTTAAAAAAAAATATGTGAAACCAAATCAAAATTTCCAAAACTGGCCCAAATAGAACTTGATTAAATTAAATTATATTTCACAGTTAACTTGTCCTTCCTTAAAATGGGCTATACTTAATTATATATATATTTTTTTTAAAGAACCAAAATAAAATAACAAAGATGATTTTAGTTATATGAAATTAGATGTGACTTAGTTCACTGACATAATCAAAATTGAATCAAATAAAATTAACAAAAATAATTTTAGTTATATGAAATTAGAATTAACTTAATTGACTGACATTATCAAAATTGACCTCCCTCTGACCCGTTTACCTCTGACGTCTCACCTCCCTCTGACCCCTGACCCCCTGACCTCTGACCCCTGACCTCCTGACCTCTGACTTTTGACCCCTGACCTCTGACCCCTTATCTCTGACCTCCCTCTGACCT